TAGATTTATAACTCTACAGTTTAATAAAAGAGAAAACTTAACCTAAACTGAAGGGTTTAAGTCAGTTATTTTAGACCTCTGAGATTCTGCCTAATTTAATAATTTTGAATTATTTTTATATTTTTATATTTATTATATGATAAAAATTAGCATTTATATTTTCTTTCTTCTTATTTTGCTTACTTTTTTTTTTCTTTTATTTTATAATAATCTTTTATTTTTTTAAAGTTTTTCAATTTTTAATTGTTAATATTTTCATTTTACGAAATATAAAACTATTCTAAACAACTATATTACATATCATATTTTTTAATTTCATTGCATAATTTCAGTATTTTGGTCAAACTTAACTATTAAAATAAGCATAAGTAAAGTTATTCAGCAGGTATAAAAGTAATCATATATCAATTTTTATTAAATTAGCTTAAATATTTATAGGATTATACTTATCTTTTGTAATATTTTATTCAGATACTTTATGATATAATTTAAATACTTTTGTTAAATAAAACAAATAAAAAAAGTATAAGTAATATTATTTAGCTAGTATAGATTTATTCAGATATCAATTTTTATCAAGCTATAAAGGGTGAACAAAAGTTTTTAGACACCTTTATAAATGCAATTTAACAAATTTCATTATATAATTATGATATTATACTGCAGTTATATGACTGTTTATTATTTATTTATATAATCTAAATAAAAAATTTCATTTTGTTTTTGTTGTTTTGACTTAATTCATTTAATCTCTACTAAATTAAAAAATAATAGAATAAAATAAAGACAAAGAACAATACAAAACCATATTTTACTTGACCAGTCTAAAGTTCTAATCTTAATCTAATTGAAAATTTATAGGCTGATATTAAAAAAACATTTGTGCATATAAAAAACTATCTTCAAACTTTACTGATTTTAACCAATATGTTAAAAAAATATGGTAAGAAATTCTGATACACATTATTGAAAATTTAGTTAATAGTATGTTATAGCAAATACAGACTGTAATTATAATAAAGGGAGGTCCAATAAGTACTAAATATTTAATACATAATATATATCTTAACCAGCTCTAAATAAAATAATATTAGAACTTTTACTATTAATGCTAAAAAATTATAAGTTTATATTTGATGAAAAGTGTTCAGAAACTTTTGTCTACTTTCTGTAGCTTGAATATTTATAAAGATATGATTACTTTTGTTAAAATTACTGGGTCACATATGTGGTTTCTTTTAATTTTACAGTGTAATTTTAGCACTTTGGTCAAACTAACTAACAAAACAAGTATAGATAAAATTGTTTAACATATATGAAAATAGTAAATATCAATTTTTATCAAGCTAAATTAGATATTTATGAAAATATAATTATTTTTGTATGCATTTTTATACAATAAAAATTCAACAAATTTATTTAAAAATAATATTGTTTAACAAAAAGTACAAGAAATTTATTATAAAATGAATAGTAAAATTGTAAAATAAACCTTTTTTTTGTCTTATAAAAATCTAAATTTTTCTTCATTTTTTTTTAAAAAAAAAAAAAACTGCAAAAATTTTTTTCTAAAACAAATAATGACTGTTAAAAATTCTCTTTTAAAAATACCAATTTTGGTAATTAAATTTTTTACTGAAAAGAGAAGGAGGTTCAGGTTAATTTTCCCGAATCTCAAGGGTTTAGAATTATAACCCTGAACTGGGATCTAGGATAAGAACAATTTAATAAAATACTATTTTACAATTTCAATCTTCTTCACAATCTAATTGTGATAACTAATTACACAAGTGAATCACAAATAAATCATTTTATTTATTTAAAACAGGACTTCAAGATGATTTAGTTATTGGATTAACATTTATATAAGTTAATTTGATAAGGTCTAATTTTAGTATTTTGTTGTTTCTTAAAGGTAGATAAATTTTATTTTTAATAAATGTTGCCTAGAGTAAGCAATAAGCAAAATGACTTCAAAAATATTGATGTAAAAAATAAGAAATTGAGCATGCTTAATGTTTGATTGATAACTTAAAATGTTGGCAAAGAGAAATGTGTATCATAAGGTTCTATTTTTACACATAAATTATGAGACAATTTTATCAATATAATATTACCTTTCACTTTCATTTGATGTCAATGGCCTTTTTATAAATCAAAGTGGGACTGAGATATGTCATTCAATGCTAAAGTTTGTCTAGATATTTTGTATATTTGTTGATTTATTTGTACTTAATGTTAAGTTTATTAACATTATTATACAATAATGATATTCAAAGTTTTGCTAAAAATGTAAACTTTCAAAAGATAATATGCAAAAGGATTTAATTACAGTAATTGCAAAAAGAGAACCTATTTTAATCAACAAATATTATATTTAAATATTAACATATTACCAATTTTAAAAAAATTGAATAAATATTACACCAATAATCAACTTTCAAAATTTAATAACATTTTTTGAAAAAAACGTTTATCTTACAATTTCTATTTTTAAGTTCTATTTATATCTTATCATATGTACAAAATTTTCTTTATGTGTTAAATACGATTTTTAAAGTAAAGTATGTCCAGATTTAAAAATAACAAAAAAAAAATTATTTTTAGTTTTCTTGCAAAAGCATTCCATATATTTTTTAAAATATTTTTTTATTATGCAAAAATATAACAATCTTATTATAAGTTTTAATTTAAGAACTAAATAAATAAAATAAAGACTCTTGCATCCTATTAAAAAGATAAAAAGGATATGAAAATCTAAATTTGATATTTTGAAATTTTTATAAACTCAGATGAATTTGCTCTTTCTTTTTAAATCAGTTTTTTTTATAAGAATAAAACAACAACAATAATAATAATTTTGACAAAAAGAATCTTAACTACTCTCACAATGTTATTTTTAAAGATCACTATATTATTTATCACAATAATTGCATTAATTAGTGTTATAGCATCATCCATTAGCATTTTTCCTACTTATAAAATTGTTGAGGACTTTCCTTTTTCTGATCACCCTGAATTTCTTATTAAAAGAGATATTAATGATCAAGAAGGTAAACTATATCAATTTCAAAAAAAAAAAATTTAATTAATTCTTATTTTGAATTATCTAGAATTAGTAGAAAGAGGCTCCAGTAGCAGTTAAGGTCATAGTAAAGATCATAGTTATAGTAAAGGATATGGTAAAGAAGAAGATCAATATTTTTTTATACTTTTAACATTTTATGATAAATTGATTACAAATAAAAATAAAATAACTAAATATTTTGAATCATGTAGGAGAAAACAAAAAAAGAGATCTTAGTAACAGTCATAATTATGGTAACAGTCATTGTAAAGGACATGACAAAGGATGTGATCATTATATATTTATATATTTATTTATTTTTTTATTTAACGTTAATTAGTATTTTATGAACTAATTTATTTATTATTATCATCATTAAAATAGACATAATTAAGATATATATTTACTTTAAATCACGACTTTTAATCATATAACATATCATAACAATTATTGTTGACTAAATAATTCTTTTAATAAAATTAATAAAATAATCATTTTGAAATAAACTTAATAAATGTACAAAATGTTACCTTCCTTCTCAAGTGTTCTAAATGAAAGAATTTGAATATGTAAAAGATTAATGTTTTTGCATACGTGCTTATTGATAAGTCACCTTTGAATGCTTGTTCTATCAAAATTGTTCTTGTAGCATATTTTAATGTTATCATTTAATATATTCTTGAGAATGAATTTTTGCAAAAAATTCATTCAAATGTTTTTATTTGTAATCTGCCCAAGATATTTATAACCTTATTGTTTTGTTAGGAACCTGAAATATAATTAACAATTTATAAAAAGATTGTAATTATACTGTGTCCAATATCTTTAATTTTATTTAGAACGTATATTAAAATTTGTAATTTAATTCTTTTCTGATAAAATTCATTTAAATTATGAAATACTTTGTACACAACACAATATTCTATAAAGTTCAGATATGGTAGTAATTATCGGATCATTTTTGAGGCTATTATATCCTAACTTTTATTAGGACCACTATACCAGTACTTTAGAACCTAAGTCCTAAGACTGCAAATCACCTTATATGTAAGTGCGTTATTTGATTTAGTCAAATTTATATTGTTTGTTCATAATTTAAAATTTGAAATATAAGTCAAATTTTAGTTCGAAATTTTGATCTAAGCTGATATTTATGGAATTTCAGAATTATATATTTTTTTTTTTATCATCGGGTAAAGACGAAATGATACGAAAAAAATTTATATTTTCAAATTCTGCCTAAATTAAGGCTTCACTGAAATGATTAAAGAAAGAGATATTCCCAAACCGTCTACTCTTGTCATGATATTATGACACATTTTGTTTTATTGTCAAGGCAGTACTAATGAAACAAATATCTTTCTTTTTATATTGCTATTTACGGAGTCAAATTTTGATTACATCAATTCTGATAGATTTTTTTTTTGGTATAGCCAATCAAAATCCGATTTTCAAGTTTGCATCACATGTGAAATACAGATGTTCGGCGCAGAATAGCATAAATGTGATGCATTAAATGGCCCTAGGATACGCGTACTCTCTTTCTCTTTGATAGCATCATACATTTCATTCGCTTCTCTGATTAGTTATATAATGTATCTAAAATAGCAAATAGTAAGTTTCGTCCATGCTTATCATAATAAATGTTTTTTTTATCAGCTTGAAAAAATTAGCCCAATTTGTTAAGCCAAAATACATGCAGTATTTTCACTAATGGTTTTTTTTTGTTCAATTTCGATTCTGTTTCTTCTACATAATTTTTAAAATCTTTAATTCATTTCAGGACATTTTTTTTCTTTGACTTTGAAATATATCTCACTGTTTCAATGTGATCAATTTATCAATCTTTGCGACCTTACCACTTATTTATATCAAATTCTCCAGTTTAAGTAAAAAAAATTTCTTCCCATTTATCCATCCATCGTAATACAGTATGTCTAATATTGCACCATCTGGAACGCTTATTAATCTTTGGTGTATCATTCGTGAAAATCGTTCTATTTTCAAAATTACTATCGGAACGGGTAACGATCTTATCGACCTTAGAAAAGTTATCAAGGAGGAGAGGAAGCCTCGTTTTGATGATTTTGCACCCGACGAACTAATTCTATGGAGGACCAATGTTGCTTCGAATGTACTTAGGAATAAAGAAACTGCTATTGAACCTTACTTAAACGAGAAATTAAAAGATCCAGCCAATACGGTTGAAAATACATTTCAAAATGTTGTAGGAAATAATAATATTCGAGTTGTTGTTGGTGTTCCCGTTACTGGTTAGTCATAATATTTTTTTTTTTTCGTCTTCTCATGCCCATATTCGCCAATAATACCGAATACTTACTTATTCTTGTGCTTTTCTTTCCTGCTGCTTATCGTCAACCCCGCCCAAAAAACAAATTCGCGTTATCGTAGAGCAACCTGTTGCTGGTAAGTCGTAATAAATTTGGTCAATTCGAGTGAACATACTTTTTCGGGGTGCTGTCCAAAATCTCGAAATCCATAAAAAAAATATACAAAAAATTATTTTCCATTCATTCCATTCGTTTATATATTTGGCGCACTTAAACTTTAATTTGTTTCTGTTTCATTTATTTTTGCTGCTGTTTCTTATTTGCTGAGAATGTCAAGAGTATTTTGAACTCTTACATTCAGCCTCCAGATGATCCTCTTCGCCAATCTTTTGCAAACTTCCTTAATATCCCTGATGATGTATCCGACATTTCATCCCACTTAATGTTTGTGGACCGCTATGAAGAGATTAAGAATTTGATGCGAAACATGAAAAATTTGCATAACCTAATCAATAACCTCGATAATATCCCTGAACCCAAGAAACACGTAATGTTTACCACTGCTGTTGGAACAGCTGGGAAGGGAAAAGCAACATTTGCTCGGCGGGCGTATTACGAAAAGGACATTTACTTGAATGTGACTGGAGAGGGTCTTTCTAATGTGGTGCAAGAATGCCTTTACGCTGGTCTGAATTTCCGAATCGATTGTAGTAGTTTTGAAGGTGAAGAACTTAAAATTGATATGGAACCTGAAAAGCCTTTCGGGAAAAGGCTATTATATGAAGCTCTTAAATATCATCTCCGAGGGTAATATTTGCACATTCAATTTTGATGGTTGCATCTGCGTTATCTTAATTTGACTGCTCTCTCTTTGCAGAAAGACAATTGATGAATTCTTCAAGATTCTAGGAGAATTTTCTATTGATCTTGTTGACATTCTTAAATTAATTCTGGAATATCATCCATGCAAATAAGATTAGAACCCTCTTTTCATTATCAATATTGATGAAACTAACGTATTGTTTGAACATGGAAAAGCTTCCTGGCTTAAAAGACTTCTTTATTCTATCTCGAACGCTATCTGTAAGGGATATTTCATTTTCGTCATCTTGACTGGGACCCATGCGAGCAACCTATTTGAACTGGTAAAGTCATCTGGTGCCAAAATCTATGACATAGCCTTGCCATTGCTCAAGCCTGAGCATGCTCAGGAGGTTATACTTGAACTAGCTAATCGGGGACTGGTAAGTTACATTCATTGATATATGTTGGTAGGTTGACCTTAGTTTAACAAAACAGTCATATTTTTCAGCGGGAAGATTCAAAGGAAAGGTGAGCTCAGGTTTTACGTTGTGATTTTACAGATTCTCACCAATATTATATTGACATTTTCGTCATCGATTAGGGTTACGAAGCTCTCTCCATATCTTGAAGTTCACATCAGACTTCTTGGTGTTGTTGGCCGCTTTCTCGAGTCTATGATATTTGAGATGGCTATTCTTGGTTGGGCTGCTCAGAATGATCAAGACGTGTTCGGCGAAAAATTTCACTACGAAGGATTCCGTTACTTCTTGAGAAATATGCAATACCAATCGGAACATTGCCGGACACTTCTTTTGCAAACACAAAAACATATTGACAAGAAATACCACCGTTACTTCAAGCAATTCGAGGAAGATGAAAATCGCGACCTTGTTCCTGAGCTGGTGGCATATTCTTTGTTTGAATGGCCTGTGGACCGTACAACCACACTGGGAAAGAGGAAACGATCAGTTGATGTAAAGATTTTTAAGAATTTTGTGCTTGGTCTCAAATCATCGACTTTATTTTGAACTTCAATTATAGGAATTGGAGAAGAAGGACATGCTGTTCTTAGATGGAGACAGCAAAATTAAACTGCCATTTATCACACTCGCTCATCTCTATGGTCTTCTGAACCCTAATCGCATTGCAAAAGTCCGGCTCCTCGATTCCTTGGATAGCGCACTCTCATGGGGACAAGCAGAGTATCTGACTCTCTCTGTGATCGTGTTTAAACTTTGGGCGATCCACAGAAGATTAGTTACTGAAGGAGAAATTAAGGAAAATGACGAAGGCTACTGTCAGCTTTCTGAACTTGTACCGCTACGGGAGAACCAGTCAGACATCCATATCAGGTTTCCACCTTGGTTTGTAATTCGTAAGACTGAGCACCGAGTCAATAAGGAAAGTTGGCAAAGTTTTTATCTAAACGCTCGTTCGCAGTCAACAAATGAGGTGTTATATTGCATGGCTTTTCTCAATTGCAATGGGGCGCAGTTCCCAGACACATTTCTGACCACCAAGCCACCGATTTTTGTTCAAGAAAAATCAAGCCTAACCAGCAACATAGAATGCTGTTGAAAGCAAATCAGCGTTAATGTTTCCATCATACCTTTTGAAAACTGAGCGCGATAAGTGTCCTAACGAGAGAGAATATATTTTCATCATTTTTACAGATTACAAGGAGCGTGGTGATGTTGGCCTGGGCCCTAAGAATAACGAGGTTTTGATAACTCGCGAGAATAGAAAAGCGATGATTGGGGAGCTGCTGACACTTAGAAAACTGTATTGTCTGGAAAGCTTGTGAAACTAGCTCAATTTGGCATCGCCCGAAATGTCTGTAGTAACTGTATACTCCACTACGGTTCATCAATAGAACCTATTATCTAAAATGTATCAAAAATTTCATTGTACAGTTGTAGCTCCGTATATTCATTCTGTTGCGTGATAAGTTGGACTAATTGAAACAAAACTATGTATGGTATATAGTAAAATTACTATTGATAGATTTTATAATAATTTTATTTTAAAATTGATGTATTTTTTTAAACTTCCATAATTCTGAATTTTTCTCAACATTTCGTTCCAATTTCGGCAACATTCTAAATCATTATCCCTTTAATTTATTAGATTGCTTTTTTTTTAAAAAAAAAAAAATTTCATTTCCACCTCGAAAATAATAAAATCTATTTCAAAACCGCTACTTCAATAGAAAAAAAAAAATTTTTTATTAGTATTTCAAAAAGATGTATTGTATTGTTCAAGTTATCGTGTACTCATTTAAACTTGTAACATTACTCAAATGTAATAAAGCACAAGTTATCGAATTTTAAGGTTTCGGATCTTTAATGATAAAATGCCTCCTATTTCAAAACGTGCTCGCCACTTGTAAAAAACTCGTGAAATACAAGCTCAAAAATTAGATGCAAAAAAAAATGAAGATATATTAAAGAAACAGCATACAGTAGTGGCGGAAAAAACTGGCAGTAAATGAAAATTCATTTACTCGATCAATATTTATTAAAATCGTTCGAAACTTAAAATATAAATTAACTAATACCACATTTATTATATATTAAAATTTAAATTTTAAATTACATTGCCATTCCTTTCAATTACCAAATTTACCCTCCTTTCCATACTATTGACTAAATTAAGGCAGAGGT